TTGAAGAAGTGTATTTAAGTGACAGTTTTTCAGTATATATTTTCTTGCAGTTATCAAGGGAACTTACTCGTGTCCTGTTGTAAGTAGACATGAGAAGAACTTGAATGGGGTAGAATGATGGCCTTCTAGTTGTGCTTTGGGGAAGGGCTCATCCAGGTGGTGGCTTGAAGGAACTTTGCTTTGACTTATCTCCTGAAATCATATTGTAGCACTTGCTTACACATTGTTGCAAAGAAAAAAAAAGGTCTTGTCAGATAGCTATTCGAGGACTAAATCTGATGTATGGCAAAAAGGAGAAAGTTTGCTGTTTGCTGCTTGGAATATGTCTCTGAACACCATCCAGGAACGTTTAAAATCCTTTTAAGGCATTGATTAATGAATGCCTGATGCAAAATTTAATTTTGTCTTTTAGTTTGTAGCTTTTGACTAGCTTTGTCTTGTGTCTACTATACTTACATGGAGAGGGTGGGGTAGGGTCTTCTGTGAATGTATGCATCTGCCTGTCAGGGGCTGTGGTGTGTTTCTCTTAGTCTGAATAGTGAATATTGACAAGTCAGTGATTTGTTACTGTTTGAAGCTTTTTTAAAAAAAACCCAGAACTTACTCCTTTTTCTGGTCACTGTTCTTTGGAGTTTGTGCTATAGCTGGCATGAGGAGACATCAAGATGAACCCTGCAGTTACAGGAAAGGAGTACTGCAAAGAAACTGCTGGTAGTTGGCAGATGAATACTTCCTTTTCTGTCTCAGTAGTTTGAGATTTCTGTTTAACCCCTATTCAGTTCCTCTCATTGATTTACTGAGAGCTATTTAAGAAAGACCCTGAGGATGTGGTAGGAGGAATACAGAGGAGGAATATACACGAGCAAGCTGGTGCTCCCAACTTCTGAAGACTCTTTTAACCTAAGGAGGAATAAATGTTTCATTTGATACAGCTGTTCTGTGGGTGGCCTTTTGTGTGTGTGTGTGTAAGCCCTTTCTCCTGTTTGTATTCCAAACAAAACCAACCAAACTAAAAAACCCCAAAACAAACAAGCAAAAAAACCAACCCAACAACCCTTGCAAAGACAAACCCCAAACTCCTAAAAAGTATAGCACTCTGAGCAAGATGGTGAGCTGAGTAGGGGTAGTGCTAGTTCCTTTCAAAAACAGAAGGGCTGGGCTTTAAGCAAATAGTCAACTTTCAGATTGTGAAATTAAAGTTCATGAAGCAAAACAGATTGAAGTGCTGTTTCAGCCTTGTGTAGTATCATGCCTCTCTTTCCCCTTTACTGTGCAATCACTTTTCTCAGTTTTCTATAGCTGTCCTTAATATACCATTTGTGTTTCTTAAACTGATGATGAGGGCAAGCTTGGCCATCTACTGTAACAATTATCTCTTACCAAATGCAGGGAGGTCTTGCCTCTCTGCATGCTGCTTCTGGCCAGACATCTGCATTCTGAAGCTGTAATGGTTGCAGGCCCTTAGCTGAGCTGATCCAATGCAGTGGTGCATCAGAAGACATTGCACTTTGTTGAACTATTTTCCTGCCAGTTGAGTGATGTAAACTTGCTTAGGAAAAGAGTTTGACAAGCAGACTGCATTGATGGGAGTTGATGAGTGAGGAAAAGTGCAATGCCTCCTCTTCTGAGCACTCTTGAGTTGTATGAAGTCAAATGTTACCCTCTATGCTTATGCAAATTTATTACAGAAGGAAAGGCCTAGGTATAGTTTTATAAAACTTAGTCTGATTCCTCTACCTTCAGTCAGGCTCAATTACAAATCTGTGTTTTCTGTGAACTAAGTATTGCATCCTGCACAGAATACTAAAGCATTTGCATTCAGTTCATACACTAATGAAGCGATTTTGGGATGTATTCCCCCTTGGATATTAGCATGCATGATGAAAAACTTGCCAAGAAACTTAAGAATTTAATTTTCTTGTCTTAAATCAAGGGCAGGAGGTCGCATGAAAAGTTGTCATTCTAAAAATCTCACTGATCCCAGCTGAAGTCACAGGTAGAATTTTGGCATGGCTGAGGCTGCTGACTAACTTCAGGGAAGCGGACATCTCATTTGGAGCACTGATACATAGTGTTGTGGTTGCTTACTGGAAATGGAACAGCAGCAGTTGTGTACTCAGCAAGCTGCTGCAAGGATCCTGTGATCTTAAGCGTTATCAAGAGTTGAGTGCAGTAGCATTTCTAAGTTTAGATTTAAAAGCTTTTTATTACAGGGGTGTCACCTGTTTATGTTGTATTAATCTGCAAAGTGCACTATGTACTCATGTACTGTGCAAATAAAGCTGCATCGGTCCTTTCCTTAATGTGGAATAAAATTTAGAGAAGTCATCTTTTAGGTGACTGAAACAAAATTGTAGTACAACTTCATGTAGGGACAAAGCCTTTTTTCCCTTTTATCATCTCTTGAATATCTTTCAAGTCACCTTGATAGACAGAGACTTGAAATACTGAGTTGAGACTTAAATTATGAGCTAAGGAAAGACAGAGGTAGCAAGCTAGGGGTGCTTTAAACTGATGCAAAGGTCAGTCAGATACAGGCTTAAGTGCCTCATACGGGGAAGCAACTTCAGGTGAAGTTGTGCCTGTTAAGACACCAAAGTCTCCTGTGATATGAATCATGTGTAATCCAACATGATCATATCTAGTGCTCACTAAGGGACTTGTCAAACCATTTGTGTAGTTTTGATCTGAATTGTTACAAACAAGGATAATGTCTGGACCAAAATGTGATGAAGTATTCTTGTATAAAAGAAAAATGGAACATATTGTTGAATAATATAACATATTCTTTTGAAAAAGTAAAAATCCACAGTCCATTGACATGTACATGTGAAATATGCTTCAGCATTGCAAAATTGTATCCTGGAGTGTACTGAAGTGCAAAGCAGGTCTGGAACTTTGATTTTTAGAGTGGTCTGTGGAAGCATGAGCATCTTCTGGGATAAAAAACTCCAGAGGAAAGCTGTTCAGGTTTTGCCATAGTCTCTCTGGTAGAGGTGTGTGTACCTGTCAAAATAAACAAATGGAAGATAGAAAACGCTGAACAACCTAACCCAAACAACTTACCTGTAAAGGCCTGTGATTCTTTTTCACTTGGGTACCTGTGTTCATTTTCACAATTTTTATCTGCTCCTCTGACATGTGATCCAAATAGCAGAGTTATGGTGTGACCATAGCTTTTAGGAGAGTGCTGGTGCAGAGCTGCTGGGTTGCCTGCATGCTGCGAGGCATGAGGAAAGTGTGTGTTCCAGGGATCAAGGATTCTGAGATAATGGGACAGACACACATACTCAGGTGGTAAATTCAAAATGACTTATTCTGCCTACGTACACACATACTATTGCAAAAAGGATACAAGTCTACCTATATTAATAAAGGAGAGGTTATATCCCTAGCAATAAAGAGTACATACCGACCCCAAGAGTGATGAGACGAGTGGTCCAGGGCACAGTCCCATTCTGGGGTGGGTGGCAGGTGCAGAAGCTTACAGGTGACCCCACGGAGGCAACGTGGTCCTCAAGTTCTGGTGGGCACCCCCCAGAAGGTGTACGCTGCCTTATATGTCATAAGTTTGCGGTGTCATCCTGATGTGAACAGTACACGAGAGGATGAGGTGGGTTCGAATTTTTGGGGCACCAGCATGTCTTTGGGCACGTGTGTTTTGTTCCTCTATGCATGCGTGTGGAGCCTAAGGGTGGTTGTCAGTCTCCTCTGGGGATTGTTACTTCCTTGCCCTTCCTTATCATCACCTCTAAGTGTCCTTGCCGGGCTGCTTGGCAGTCAGTCAAGGCTCATTATCCTTTTGTTTTCCTTAGCTAAAGTTTTCTTACCACTGCGTACTCCTTTTGCTCCAGTCCCACGGGCCAACTGCAACTGCTTACTTTTCTATTCAGTTTGACATGGCCTGCTGCAGAATGTCTCCATTTTATAAGTGTCTTTGGACACAGTGTGCAGGGTGTCATGTGTCCCATCCCCCCTTAAGCAGTTTCACTTAGTTGTTGTAAGTATTTTTATTCTGTATAGCCCCTGGGTACTCATGCTGTTTTCTGAAATGTGAAGAGATGTGTCTTGAACTATTTTCTGTAAGCTGCTAGTGCAGAATCAGCAAGGTACAGCTTATAGCCCAGTGAATTGAGAAGTCTCCACTTTGACCTTCCAGTGGACACTTTCCTGGCTGATAATCTACTCTGCAAGCTTGCTGTGTTCTGGCCTGTGAAAGAAAGGGTTTTCTGTAAGCCCCTTCACAGTTAAGCTGTTCTCTGCCTACTGCTTCTTTCCAATAGGATTTCAGTATATATAAACCTATCACAGTGAAATTTCCTTGGGGTACCTGCTCATGCTCCTTACTTGTCCACTACATAAACCACACTTCTGAGTTAAATGTGCACATATAATGGCTGCATTCTTCTGTGTGAGCCACTGCTCCATGCATTGCCTGTTCTTGAAGACCTCGTTACAGTTTGATCATCCAGAGATGTTAGCTGTCAACTGTATTCAACTCTCTGATAGCCTTTCTCAAATTGGGCAACATGCCAATAGAATTTTAATATGTATAGGTTGATTGACACATATCAGACTCTTAACCTGACCTTTTCTCTTGAATCCTAATCACTTAGGAAAAAGTGTTTTGTAACTGTGACAAGTTTTGATTGTAGATCTGTTTTTTGCCTAGTCTCTGTGGCTTCTGCAACCTAGCATTGGGAATCTTGTACTGGCTTTTGTTAGTGCAGGGACTGTTGTGAGGGGGAAAGGAGAGAATTAAGTCAAGATCAGATGTTTTGTCCCATGCAGAGGTTTAGCTGTTCCTGTAGTTAAAATAAACATGTGTTTGAGTTGAGGTTTCTCAACTGTGAGGGAAGAGCATGAGTGCTAAGTTGAACTGACGGATAAAACAGCTGTTCTCAAAAGTTCTGAGTGCTTGAGAGTCAAAAGCTCTGCACACAGTCTCTTCAGTAACTGAAAAGTTGTGCAGCCACTGAAATGCAGTAGTCCCGAACAGCATTTCTTGGCAGATGATCCTTGAAACGCAGAGTTGTGTTGTGTTTTAATAGTTTGTGTCATGTTGTCAACCAGCTCTGAGGAAGATGTAAGAACAACATGGAAGTTGCTAAAACATAGCATGTTAAAAACCTAAAAATCTCTGCCTTGGTTTTACATAAGTTTTTCCTTTTGTTTTGTAGACTTCTCCTTGCTGGATAGGTGGAAACACTGAGCCATTGACTGGGTTTACATGGAGGGGTGGATGTGAACGAGAAACCACAGGCATTCAAGTCTGGAGTGAAGTGTTTGTAATTGAGAAACCCAATGGAACAAAGGTATGTGTTTGACTTACTTTGATTTACTTGTGGTGTTCCTTGGAGATGTTGTGGGCTTTTTGGTTCTGTGGGGTTTTTTGTTGGGGCTTTGTTTTTTTGTCTTTTGCTTGTGGTAACAAAACAGAGGCTGTGGATGCCGCTTCCTGGGAAATGTTTCCAGGTTCAATGGGGCCCTGAGCAACCTGGTGTATGGCAGGGGCGTTGGAACTAGATATCTTTAAAGGTCTTTTCCAACCTAAACCATTTTATGATTCTATAACTTATACAGGTAAGGATTTTTACCTCTGTGCATACCTTTAATGCCATGTGTTTCATGGTGGCAGTTCAAACTTTCCTTTGCATTTAGTAGCTGCATAACATATTTAGAAACTGTATCATTACAAGGATGGCGATTGATTCTTACAAACCAGCAGAAAAATTTGACAATAGTCTTGTTTGGAGAGTACTTTGTTTTGGCAAAGTCTGCTCTGTCCAGGCTCATGGGTGGGTTATCCAGTGGATGTTGTAAAGCTGTAATGGCTATCAACACCATATACAGACAACTGCTGTGGTGAAAACAGCTCTCTAACAACCACTGTTCTTTGAGGGGTGAGATGTGTTCTAGGTTCAGTGTCTGGAAGCTCGTCCTTCCATAGAGTTAGTCTATAAAAAAGGACTAAGTCTAACAGTAGGGGAAAAAAGGCAGTAACTTGATACTAATCAAAGCTCTGGTGCATCTTTTTTGGCTCTTAAGTCAGTTCAACTGCAAAGTTTGGTTGTAGGTGTTTGGTTTTATGCTGAAACAAGGTGTTGATGCTATTAATAAATATTTACTCCACAGTACTAGTAGTGATCTTGAGCTGTTCATGTTCTGAACCACGAGTTCTTGATTATTTAAATTTCATATCCTTTGCATTTGCAAAGGAAACATCTGATCACCAATTAATATGGGACATCAAGCTTAAAAAATAAAAATAGTGGCTTAGTGGTGCGCAGAAAGTTTTAGCAAATTTCGTAGCTAACAAAACACTGTCTAAAAACCAGGTACATTGTGAGGATCTGTTTTGCTCCATAAACAAATCACTCACTTGCTCATGCTCATCAGTCATCTCTAACCAAAAGAGAGGGGAATTGTAATAGATGCCAAAGATGGAAGTTGGACTGATCAGCTTTTGTTATATTGATCTCTTCATTCCTTGTCATTCCAGCAGATAGTATCAATTGTCTTGTTTTCTTCTTAAAATAATTACATTAAGATGTGTATATATACATATATATTTAAAAGTAAGCTGCTCATTCTTGGGTCTAATAAGCTATGTTAGATTTGCAGCTGAGACTGGAGGTCTTTGAGTGGATAAGAGCTGCCAGCTACTGTGCACTGTGCCCCCACTGGGCTGAGAGGCTGTTTCTGTGGGGGAAGGTAACTAGTGTAGCAAGGCCAGGGACTTCAGGCTAGTGACGTGGCACTCTGGCTGTTGCTTACTCAGCTGTAGGTGTGCGTAGTCACATGTGCAGGAAGCTTGACTGAGGTTTACTAAGTAGGTGTAGAGGCAGAGACTTGCTTTACTTGAAATAGAATTGGCCTGCAGTATGACAGCGTTAATGATTTCGTTAACTGTTGCTGTTCTTTTCATCTCTCTAGGTTGCTGTACTACTCATGGATACCCAAGGTGCCTTTGATAGCCAATCCACTATCAAAGACTGTGCAACGGTTTTTGCTCTGAGCACCATGACAAGTTCTGTCCAGGTGAGAATCTGTGCTGGCAAGTAATGGCAGCTGTAGGAACCTTCTATCTTGAACATCCAGATAATATCTCTCTAGCCACACTTAAAAAGTTCACCTGCATATTTTCCTCCAACTATGATTTAAAATTTCATGCTTAATGTCTTATTTTCAGTGTAGTACATATAAGTTTCTCCATGGGATCAAGGTTATCCGAGGCCAAGTTGAGTTAAATTGCTGACAGAACTGGGAAATCCCCCCTTGCCCCAACCCCAAGATGTCAAAGTAGCACCTGCATCTGTACAGATGTGTTACAGAGTCTTTTTTAATACTTTAGATACTGTTTGGGGTGATGTTACACTGTGATCATGTAAACTTGCAATTGCTGCTACTGTTAAAGGATCAAGTAAACTTGCAACCATTCTCTTGACTGTGCCCACAACTACATTTAAGCTTGCCCCTTAAATGTGCCAAAAGCAAGCAGCTTTGTGAGGAGTGGCAAGTGACCCTCTCCAGACATGCTACAACAGAAAAGTAACAGGAGTATGTAGAACACTACTGTTCTATTGGGTTGGCTCTGATGGATTGTTTGTTTGGTTTGTTCCTGTGGTTATGGTAAGTTGTGGGTTATTGGTGCATCTTTGAGTTTACTGCTGTTCAGTATTTGTGCTATTGAAGCAGTCACAAACTCCCTGGATAAAATCAGATTTCTCTGGGAAGAGTGGAAAGCAAAACAATGTAGTGAACTCACTTCCGGGTCATTTCTGTGTCAGAGGTAGAGCTGAATCCTCGAGCGCTTGGACTTGAGGGTGGCTAACAGACATGCCCTTCGTAGTCCTCTTGTCTCACACCGATGTGGTAATTGAAGCATTCAGCAGTCTTCTGATTCCTTTGTGGCTTGCTTGCTTGGAAAGAAGCTGTTGTAAGAAGAATTAGGGTGGCCAGCAGTGGTTTTGTTGCTAGTGCTTTGACTAAGAAAGTGACTTTTGTTTGAGATAAATTTTATGACACCTTTCTAAGTTGCTGACTTCTGGTAGTTAGATTTTTCTAGAGGAGACAGAAATACTCAAGATATGTAAAAGAGACTATATGAATGTAAGATAATGATTTCATGGTACACTAATTCTGACTGTCTCTTGCAGGTATATAACTTGTCTCAGAATATTCAGGAGGATGACCTTCAACATTTGCAGGTAAGAATATGCTGCTTCTGAACTAGTAGTCTTGACATGGTTTAGAAGTTGCTACTTATGTAACTGACTTGGGAGCTGTTTGCAGCTTCATATAAAACACTGAAGCTGACCTGATGCTAAAACCGTTGTCTGTAACCACAGTGTTTGCATCAGCTCAGTGATGTTGTGGTGCTTCTACTGAGCCAGCACAGAGGTAAAATAGTAGAGGGTTCTAATCTGGCGAAATCTTTTAAAGTCTGTTCTCTGTATTGCAAGTTCTGAAATTCCTGAAAGATGAGAAAAGAAAATGATATATAGAAGTAATTAATGACAAAATTCCAATGTTTTTCCTTCTTCTCTAAAATAGGAAAATGGACAGTATTTCATCACCAGTTTCTCAGGAAATGTGGGAGCTTGGGTCAGGGCAGGAAGAGTATCTTCTACCCAGAAGCCATCTCTAGTTTTTCAGCTGAGAAACTTCTGCAGACTTTGTTTCCAGTCAGAAATAAAAGCAGGAAAGAGTTGTCCTTCTTTACTGTGGGATTTTCATCCTCTAATGGAACATTGTGGTCAAAGGCCACTGAATTCTGGCTTCATGTGAATGGTGCAAGAACCTTATCTCCTTAACTTAAAATGTATAGCTTTAAAGACTAGTTGTGTACTTACAAACGCCAAGGCCATGATGTTGTGACAGCTTAAAACTGTTTTATATGTCTGCAGTTCTACAAAAGACTGGCTGCCAATGCTGGAAGTAGAAGAGCACTAAGTAAAGATAGTCTTGTGATGCTGTTCTCAGTTAACAGGGTTGTATCACTGGACCAACAGCCCCCATATTCCCAAAAAAACCAACCAAGGAGTGAAAACAAAAAAAAGCCATGGGTACTTAATTGAAAGCCAGGCTCTCTTCATGGCTTTGGTCCTTTAGCAACCTCAGTGCAATCTGAATGGAGCAATCCCCATCTGTTATACTGGAGGGTAAGATTTGAGGGAAGGAAGGGATGAGAAAGATAATCATAGAATCATAGAATTTAAGGGTTGGAGTGGGCCTTACAGATCATCTAGTCCCAACCCCCAAATAATAAATTGATGATAATTGATAATTGAAACAATAATTGATAAAGACAAGCAGTGGATAGGGAACAACCATGCATTTAAAGCTGCAGCAAGGAATCATGGTTTGAGGGAAGGAGATTCTGAATTTCTGTTATAACAGCAATTTATGTAATTCTGAAATGCTCTTATTCTCTGGCTGCCTTTTTTCATTTAGCTGGGAAGTGAGTGATGTAAGGAGTTAGGGTCAAAGAAGCCAGTCTCACCTGGCTGCTTGGCCACTTCACAGCTGCTTTTGCTCAGGGTGACAAGGGTTTGGAAGCTTATTTGTGTTAGATTAGTCTTGTAAGTTTTCAGATGCTCTTGTTATCAACACAGGGGGAACCCTCCTTTTAGCCATGAAATTTATCTGATATATTCCAGGAGTTAGTCTGAATGCTGAACAACAGTTGCCTGGTGCTAGAGAACTCTGACGTGCTTCCTTCATCTAGACCTCCAAGGTCTGTAAGGAGGCTAGGGTGGATCAACACAGGCCAATACTGGCCTGTGCTGAAACAGTTAGCACAGTCTGTAATTCATGTTATTGTGGGTTGTCTGGCCTGCTCAGTCCAGCAGAGAGTGCTGCTGCTGGTGTTAAAAATGGTGCAAACAGTGCACCATCTTGGGAAAGCAGCTGACACTTGCCTTTATACTGGAGGAAAGGAACAATTATCTGTTAAGGTCATGGGCTGAAGTAGAGAACTGAGAAGCTGCTGAACTTGGCTTGTATTTAAATATCTGATACATTGGCTCTAGCCAAGTTCCTTGGGATTTCCAGGAATAAACCTATTGTGGGAAGCAAGGGGCAAATGTTAGACAGGCTTACCTTCTTAGCCTAGGAAACAAATGTTGGGAGCTGGCTTGCTGAGGGATGCAGTCAGCTTTCCTCTGAGAACAGCCCACAAGCCACCCACTTAGAGCTGCAGTGTGTTGACAGTTACAGAATGGCACCATGAAGCCAGTGGAAATAATGTCTCCTTCCTGAATTTTACTGAGGATTGGTATACTCATTGTTGAGGTTTATTTGCCATTCTTGACCTATAATAGGATTTAAGATGGAATGTTTTATTTTCTAGTGACAAAATACTTTACAGTAGAAAAATGTGGTTTATATGTGGCACCTTTACACACTTCTTTCTATCAGTTGTTTACAGAATATGGAAGACTAGCTATGGAAGAAATTTACCAAAAGCCGTTTCAGGTAACTGTATGTTAAATGGATCTTATGCAGTTTGATGTATAGAAAATGAGCTCAGGATAATTTATGAAGATAAATTAGCTGGGCTGAAGCTAGCCTGTTCTTTGCAAGACTAATTTTCCTTCACTGTTGCCTCATTATTTGGCAAAAACACAGTGGAAAAATGCTGAAGAGGATCACATTTTGGGCCAGTACAGCTTTGTGCTTGAGTTATAAGGTGTAAAAGGAATCAAAGCATCAAGTGATGTGCAGGCATTAAGGGGAAAAGCTTCATGCTGCCTTCTTACTCTTTGCTCTGAGATACAGTTGGTCTTTGCTGGTGGTACATGGTTCTGAGAAAAGGTCATGTGGCCTCTAAGCAATGGCATTGAGGAAAGCCATGTTGCATTTAATTTCCTTGAAGTGTGACTGGCTGCAGCATTAAAAGTCTTAAAACTGATTGTTTGCTAGGCCAGAGAAGGGTTTGAGGCTGCTTCTCTTTAGTGGAGACAAAGACTGAGAAGTCTTTCATCCTGAAGTGTCCTTCTTAACCTATAAGGGTACTAGTCAATTGCTGTTAGTGGTGAGATTTAAAACTCTTGGGAGTCACAAGTGTGAGTCCGCAGTGTTCTTGTAATTGGTCCAGACAAGATGTGTTCTTTGTAAAGCACCTTGTCTGATAGAAGAGTAACATGAAGGTTTGTTTTTTGTCTTCAGCTGATGAGAGAGAGGACAGTGTAATTCCTGTGGAATAGCAAAAGGCAAACCTGTGAAACAGGGAAGTTATCTTTTTGAGACAATTGGGTACTTTGTTCAGATAAGGACTGAGTTGCATTTGTGGGTTTGGTGGTGGGTTTTTTTGCCTTTATTTTGTTTTTTTAAACAAGCAAATGCACCACAGATCTACAAGGCTACTTCATCTAGTGCAGCCAAATGTACTAAAAAACTTATATTTATATAATGTACTTACTTAATATATAATGTACTTATGTTTGGGGCAGCCAAATACTTAAAATAATTACATGTGTGATAGAGTTTTTCACCTTAGGAATGATGCAGTCCATTCACTGCTGTTGTTCTTCCTGTTTATAGACATTAATGTTCTTAATTAGAGATTGGAGTTATCCTTATGAACATGCATATGGCTTGGAAGGAGGAAAAAAGTTCCTAGAGAAAAGATTGCAGGTGAGTTATCTCTAGTAGTCCTAGTCTGATCTTCTAACTTAAGTGACAACTTGCTGTCAAGGTAGTGATGCATGGTGAACTGGCTCCTAGTGCTTTCTTGATGTTTCCACTTGTGTGCAAAGTTGACGTTACGAGCTTCAGGAATAAAAGCTTAAACACACCTTTGTGCTCTTACTGCTTTTAAGATATTTCATCTTCATTGCAGTACTGCAAAACTGCTGGCAGTTCTTACTGCCTTTTTTTTTTTCCTTCAGGTAAAGCAAAACCAACATGAAGAGCTACAGAATGTAAGGAAGCATATTCACTCCTGTTTCAGTAATCTTGGCTGTTTCCTGTTGCCCCACCCTGGTCTTAAAGTTGCAACAAATCCAAATTTTGATGGGAGATTGAATGGTAGGAAGCTTTTCATTTTGTGTTTCTCGATCACTGAGTTAGTTTTCTTTTATGATGGAAGTTAAGCACTGAACTGGTTGGCTATTGAAATGCACTTGATTGGAAAGATGTAAGGCTAAAAGGTGATACTGTGGAATCTAGAAATGTGTAGATTCCACAGTAGAGGATTTAGGCAGACAGAGGGAATGGATATCTCTGTCTTGCTGTAGATTGTAATCTGATAATTTGAGACCTACTTAAAGGTCATTAAATAAGATTTCCAAGATAAGTAAGGGTTGCAGAGGGGAGAGTTTGCAAAATTAAAGACTTTGGTTTCTTGAAAAGCTTTTCTCTAAGAACTTGCTAAACCATAGGTCAGCTCTGGAATGACTTTAAAATACAATCTGCTACTGCAGAATGGGCAGCAGTCAGGATTCCTCCGACTGATGCTTGTCCCCCAACATAGGGAATGTATCAAATGGCAAGGGCTGTAAAAGTGAGTGGTGATGGTGGGATGCCAACCCTGTGCTGAGGGCACAGAGCTGTGGGGTTATTGTGCAAGATGTTGGCATTATTTGGGGAAATGCACTTGAAATATTACAAGGACTATGGAACCTTCTCTCAGTCTGAAATTCAGACTGGCAGATTAAGAAAGGATAGAACTGACTACAGCTGTACTATGTATTTAAGCCTTTAAATACCTTAGAAATGCAGTTGAGTTGTGATGCTGTGGATTTTGAAGGGTCGTGGGTTGTCGGTGTTCCTTTAGGAAATACAAGATTGAAAAAGAAAACTAACCACTTGTTTTCCTGAAATTGATTGAATTTTACTAGATATAGATGATGATTTTAAGAATGAACTGCGGAATTTGGTACCATTACTGCTTGCCCCTGAAAACTTGGTAGAAAAAGAGATTAGTGGATCCAAGGTGACCTGTAGAGATCTTGTAGAATACTTCAAGGTAAGCAAACTCATACTAATTATTTCTGTTAATAGCTTAAAAGACGTTATTCTAATTTTAGGCCATGTTGTTCCCAGAGAAGATGAGATATCTAGGCTGACATTTGCTGATCAGCTCACTTTTGTTTTCATTTCATTACTTGACTTTCTAGAACTGGCACATAACTTCCTAACAGTATTGCTCTTAGCAAGCTACTATTGGCAGAATTGTGGGTTGTTGTTGGTTTTTTTTTTCTCTTTGTAAATAGGCCGAAATACTTCAAGCTTTATTAGATATTTTTTCCTGCTTTGAAATCCTAGGTTTTTTTAAATTAAAGGAGGTCATGTGTAGCATATACAGATAGAAAATGAGCTCTTAAACTGCATTGAAATTTTTCAGGTATTCCTCTTTCTGCATTTTTGACATGCAAGGAGGGTACTTCCTAAACACATGCGTGTGCAGCACCACTATGCTCTGAAATATTTGTGTATGATACTTACAGCTGTCAGTCTTGAGCTTTTTTTTTGTATCGTGGTGACAGCAGCAGAAATGTGATAACATTTCTGTTACATCACCAGCAACTGTTCTGGTGTGTGAACCTCTTTTTTTTTTTTTTTTTGATTGGAGTTACTTAGACAGTTGGCTTGGTAAGAATGAGTGCCACTATCTCCTAAGGACATGAATTTTGCATTGTGACTTTTGAGCATGCATGTTAAAGGTAGAACAGCTAGGCTGATGTTAAGAAACAAACTATGCAAGGGAAGAATCTGAGGCCAGAACACTCTTAACTTCTCTTGTAAAATGAAGTTTTTAAAGGAAAGACACAATAGAAATCATGGCTATCCTGACAAGCATAAAATCAGCACTGGAGCTCAGAGGTTCAGCCTGTCTATTTACGTTGTTTCACGCTGCTGCTTGCTCCACTTTCTTTTCTAGTAGGACCTGATCAAGTGCCATTCAGGGAGTATGCATTCAGCAGCAGTTGAGAAAGGACTGCATCCTTAGAACTGAGTGTAAAACCTCTTCTATTGAAAAGCTGCCTGATTCACATCCCATATCCAGTCTGGGAGCAGTCCTATGAGGTGCTGCAGAAATGCCATGCTTATGTAACTGAAGAGGACTGCTCCCTTGGGACTGTGCATCTGAAACTGAGATTGTGAAGCCTGAGTTGGAAACTGTAGGGCTTTTTCTTGGAGGAAATAGCTACAGAAGCAAGGAGGCTGTGGAGGGAACAGAGTCCTGTGTAAGTCTACATGTTTTTGTAGGTTGTTCTACAACCTAGAGCATTCAGTACATAGGGGCCCTGATAACCTTGTTCTCTCCTCCTTTACAGCAAAACATCCTCAGGTCAGAGGCTTGTAGACTGGAGGGGAAAGCAGTAGTAGTGTGAAGGGTAGTGGCCCTGAAAGTAGCCTCGTTGGTGTAACACGGACAGTTTGTCCAAAGCACTGAAATGGCTGCTGCTGCCTGCTGTGCCCTGGAGCTGAGCCATGGGCCGGCTTGTGGGCTGGAGAAGACATGAAGTGTGTGTCTTCTTCCAGCCCTCTGAAACCCTGGGGAAAAACAGAACACCTGAGGATTGGTGGGGTGGGGCACAGAGGGGTCAGCTGCCTGCTTAGCTTCCAGAACTATTTTGGCAGTTCAGCTCTGTCTGCATTAAGTGCTTTGATCTGCTTTTTTTCCTCCCACACTTCAAGGGAGCAAGGCATGTGGGGAAATGTAAATACTGGTTCTGTCAGCACTGGGGTAAGTTTGGACAGATCTCTTGCCAGAAAGGCTGTGTGAGAGTTATCTCCACTCTTCTGTTATGGGTGGAGATTCCCTTCTTAGTAAAGACCTCTGTACATATGTAGGGAACAGAAACCTGCTGTCAAGCCTCACTTCTTGGGACAGTGGTGTTTTTTCCTCAGGATGCTCTGCTACGCTGCTGAGCCTCAGTCTGGTGCACTGGAAAGTAAAGGGGGCAAACAATGCTAGACTTGAATGAGCAAATTTGCATAATTTAATATTTGGCATGATTACAAATAAATAATCTGAACTCTATTTCATCCCTCATTTCTCATTCTTCTGAATCATAAATGTTTAGAAAACCAAACCTTTCTTTTTCTTCCCATTTAGGCATACATTAAAATCTATCAAGGAGAGGAGCTACCTCATCCAAAATCTATGCTGCAGGTATTTTATTTTTCTTTCACATAATCTGATTAGGTGATGTGTACTTTCTTGTAAGTTCTTTGCAATTGAAGATCATGACTGCTGTGGGTCCTAATCTCCCACAAACAACTGTAAATCTTGAAGGAGCTGTGTATTTTGAAAGCCATCTGAACTGTGACACTTGGGTACACATTTTTGTCTTCCCTCAGTTTCACCAGCCAAATGGAACAGGGGTGTGTCTGGTTGGTTGGGGTTTTTAGCTGCTTTAGTTTCTAAGCAAGGAGTTTCCTGAAACTTGCTGTTTTGTTGGTGTCTTTCATGCTGCATTCAGAGGACATTTAGCATCAGATGCAGCAGATGAGATGGAGAAGGCTTATAGTACTGCAGCTGTGGCCACTGTCTCACCGTGTTGGACCACCCTGTGTAGGGTTTGTTAGGTTGACTAACTGGATTGAGGTTTCTTTTCTGGGTTGACCCAAAGGGGATGTAATCATCTTTAAAACAATCTGAAAAGAAAGTGATTGTATAAAGCTCTGTGTCAAACCCTTGAGCTGTTTGGGATGAAGGGCTTTAGAGTCAATTTCAACCATTTTGTGTTTGTAAGACTTGAGGTTTTGGGGTTTTTTTTAAAGTTTCCTGTGTCACTTAAGACCTGACAGTTCTGGGAGTTTTCTTATCCTTTAAGGAACAACATCTTTAGACTTACTGGGGAGTTCAGAAACTTCATCACAATGAAACAAAACTGCTTTCATTTCCTCTATTTAGCCATAAATGTGGCTGGGACATACAGAAGATATCTTCCAGTATTGGCTTCAGTAATTGTCCCTGACATGACGCAGGTTGAAAATAAGTCTTACAAAATTGACAATTACAGTTGATACCAAAACTGTACATGTATAGAGCAGAAATGATACCAGTGTCCTTCTTTCCTCACAGGTAGTGATTTATGAGGGCTAACATTTAATAGTTTAGTGACCCTTATTTGCTTATTAACAATAGAGCATTTGGAAGAGATTGTTCATGATGAAAAGCCTGTACAAGGAATTTGGAATTTGTTTGCAGTTGTACTAGAAAGCTGAAGAAAATGCTTTCCTAGGCAGTAATGTGTTTCAGTGTATATTGCTAAATTTCTCTTGTTTTTGTGTGGCCTTCTCTTGGCCAGCAGAAGCTCTGGAGGCTGTGAGGGTAACTACTTGATGATGTTGTGATGACACAGTGCTCAATGTTTTCTAGGCAACAGCCGAGGCGAACAATCTTGCTGCTGTGGCAGGAGCAAAAGACTTGTACAGTAAAGGCATGGAGCAGGTATGATGACACAACATTCTCTGAATGTCTTCGTGCAAATACAGGCCTTCAGTTTTCATGCTGTATTCTGCTTGTGAGCATGTTAATGGGGGAAAGTAGCTTAGGGCCAGCACTTGTGTGTTTTCTACCCTCTGCTCTGAGGCAAACCCAGGATTCTTCAAGTTGCTGGGGAGGTATGGGAATGGGGTGTGTTTGCCAGATCCTGCCTGTTAGTTCCCTCTACAGCTCTTGAAAGGCATCTTAAAATCCTGTGACATGAAAGGGACAAACAGATGAGGAGACATTTATTGGGCCAGGGTTGACTAAGGGTAGAATTCTAGTTTTATGGTCCCATGCTTCTGAATTATGGTCATTCATTAGCTGTAAAGTGCAAGGATTCAAATGATTCTAAAGATTACAAAAAGCCCCATGAAATACAAGAATTACTTTGGAAAATCTGTATATGTCATTTCCTACTTGCTTCTTATCTTGAAGATAGTGACTTTATACTGCTCTAAGCTGAATCACTGGGTGGATTTCATACTCCAACGTAGTGTTATGCAAGGTTTTATCACTGGAAATTCTGAAGACAATTACGTCTCATAAAGCTTAACAGGACTATACTTATTGTCAACTTCTACAACTGGAAAAGACCAGTGGGTGTGATATTGTACTACAAACAGCTCCCTATAACTAGGCTAATTCTGGTCTTAATTGTTGAAGCAGCTTTCTGTTTTGAAGTTAGAGTAAGACCTAATACTAGCCAGTTCCAGTTGTTAGCAGGCTGTTTTCAGAATGTTCTGCTGATGTAGAGGGACTCATTTGTTTCCATTTTGGAAAATGTCTTGAATTAGTGTTGAAATGTGTTGTTTATAATAAATGTCAAGTCTGCCTTCCTACCTTGAATCTTCAGTGGTTGTTGAGATAACTGTAGTTGTAAGGTTTCTTACTTGGAGCAGGGAATAAACAAGAACAGGTGTTCTTTTAAACAGAGTTTGTTTCCATAGTAATGTTCCCCAGTACTGTGTATTTTTGTATCACTGTAGAGATATGCACAAATGTCTGGAATAGTTTTTTATCCAGATGTCTCATATGATGTTCTTAATGTGACACAGCTCTGAAACTTCTATTTTTAAGAACAGAGGTGGGAACTCTTTGGATTTAAGGCTCGATTATGTAAGGATAGTTCTTAATGTAGCTTCTGAGTTGTCCTCATGAGCCAAAGCCCTCCTTTTTGGAGTGTGCAAAACCAAAATACTGTCACCCTAATGACCTGAAATGTAAGGAACAACAGGTGCAGTCACACAGAGTGTAAGAAAACACTGTGGGGCTTCTTGATCCCTCAGCAGCCCCTAGTGTTTCACATGCTCTGAGCAATGTGAAAAGACTGTTTCGAAGGATGACACTAGTTACCATTTTCCAGGGAATTTTGCTGAACGTGGAGGACTTTGATATGGGCAAAAGCAGAAAGGTGCTTGTTAAACTTGAGCAAGGGGCAGACTGAGGTTGTCAGGATTGTGACAGGGTCATTTGCCTTGAAGAAGCTAGTCAGTGAAGCCAAACATCTTGTGAGGTAGAAAGTGGAACCTGTACTCTGAGAAAGTGTCCATGTGCTCTGCTGAAGGAAATGAGCAGGAGAAAGTTAAAGTTGTTGTGCAGTCAAGGCATGAGATGACAAGCAGGATTTTGAGGCAGGAAAGAGAAGGCTGTTTGATGTCATATGGAAAGAATCACTACTTCTTAGACATAATCTAACTGTGAGGGTCTGGAGGAGTTGGAGCTGATGTGCCATACATGTTGCTGGCCTAGGTAAACAGAGTAGAAGTCCTTTGATTGAACCATTTTCATTACGCATACTGAGTCAGGGAGGGAAAGATGGTGGTGCCCACATCACTGTATCCATTTGAGTTCCATGGTCTTGTCCCTTCAGCAGAAATGTATTTGCACAAGTTGCTCAGAGTCAAGCAGAGAGGACAGTCTAGGGGAGAATGGGCTAAGGGTGGCAGCAGCTAGTTCTTAGCTGGTACCACCTGGTAAGTTTCATGGAGCCTGATAGTGGCAGCAATAAACAAGAATGAACTTGAGTGGGCAGAATCTACCCAGTTTGTTCAAGTTCTGCACTGACCCTCTTGCTGAGATGGGTGACCAGGAGTAAAAAGATGGACAGGATGGAAGTGGGGAGGGGAGAGCTTGTGGAGAGCAGAGTTCTCCTAAACCTTCCTCAAGCCAAGCATTCTCTGCCTCTTGGTGTTCCTGTATTTGACCTCTTTCATAACAGGAATGTGGCTGTTGTCCTGTCCTAGGCTTGCCTGAAGGAAACAGTGAGAGCATGAGTTCAGTCATATGCTATAGCATGAGTTCAGTCATGTGCTGTAGCTCTGTATGTGGTTGGACAGGGAAGCCTCCTGCTGTGCCATGATGCAAAGTGCCTTTCACCGCTTCACTTGAGACAGGACTTGAGCTTACAGAGCCAAGAGAGCTCTGAGGAGGCAGTGTGATGCTGGCTTGGGAGGAGGGCAGCAAGGAGCAGGTTTGGTTTATGCACAGCAGAAGATATTCAGGGTATGATTCTATGATCTCTGATTGCTCTAACAGATTTGTGGGGGAGATAAGCCTTACATTGCCCCATCGGACCTTGAGCGGAAGCACCAGGATTTCCGAGACACCGCGGTCAGGCAGTTCCGCTCAGTGAAGAAGATGGGAGGGGACGAGTTCTGTCGGCGCTACCAGGAACAACTTGAAGTGGAAATCGATGAGATCTATGCAAACTTTGTGAAGCACAATGATGGCAAAAACATCTTTTATGCTGCTCGTACCCCTGCCACTCTATTTGCAGTCATGTTTGCCATGTATATAACCTCAGGACTGACTGGGTTCCTTGGTATGAACTCCATAGCTACCCTGTGTAATCTCTTGCTGGGGATGGCTCTAATATCGTTTTGTACTTGGGCATACGTTAAGTACTCTGGGGAATTCAGAGAAGTTGGAACAGCCATCGATCAGATTGCTGAAGCTATATGGGAACAGGTTGGTATCTCCTTTTGTTGCAAAACCTTTCTTCTTGAGTAGATGTATCAAACAGTTTCTATTGAGTGCTGTGAGTGAAAAGCTGGTCTAGACCTAATGGAGAATGCAAGTGCTATCAAAGGGAAAATCTGCTCGGAGGGGTGACTGCTTTCTTCAGCAAGATGCTGTGCACAAAGAATTTTAAACAAGCTTAGGATATTGTCAAAGAAGTGTTACTTAAAGGCCTTAGTAGGTGCTTGGATGGTAAAGAGTGGAGGGGTTCTCCAAAAATCTTCTTTCTTCTTCAGAGCAAGAAATTCTCTTTTTAAAGATATGTTTATAGATAAAGTTGTCCTATGGATGTGGTGGATAAAATATCTCACGTGGTATGAAGAATGGGAAAGGCAAAACCCTGCCCTCCTCGTCTGGTGTGATGCTGAAGGGCTAACTAGACCTTGTAGAGATCTGACTGGGTGATGACTTGCAGCAGCTGGTGTACAGTAGACTTTTTCCTTCAGGAAGACTTGTTTGTGACAACTTCAGTGGATGCAACTGCTGTTTGCTAGAAATGCTTGACAGACAGGCTAATTTCTGAAATAAAAGTTAGGAGCCTAAGAGCACCAAAGCTGGAGGAGAAAGCTTTCTGCACAGAGGTTTTGCTGCCTGAAGTCAGTTGACACAGCTGTTCCAGTAAAGGCCAATGTAGAGAATTTCTGACCAACTTGTATATGCAGGTTTTAGAGCATTCCAACTAGCTATGTCCAGTGCCTGCAGAAGGGAAACACTTTGGTGCTGCTAGAAATAAAGGGCTCGCACAACTTACCTGGGATGATGTTAAAGTGTGTCCTAAGAGGCATGAACCAATAACTAACTGGAGACTTCTGCTCAGCTGTTTGCTTCTACATCTGAAAAAATCCTGTGTTCAAGGCTCATCCTAGGCAGTGCTACACTGGACATATCTGACCAACCTGGTGAGGTTCCCAGTAAGGTTATACTGGAGCAGAAAAAGTGGATTTTTAATGATAGGAGGCAAATGAGCATCAGGGTACTAAGTCTTAGTTACATCTCTGACTAATAATTAAAATTGAGGCTCTCCAGCACCACTGTAGCTCCTTGCTTTGGAGCTTGGGGCTGAAAAGCACTGCAGGAAAAGTGGAAGGTGTTATTATTCTATGTATAATACTTGCTGAGTGCATCTGCTGCTGCAGGATACCCAGAGCACATAAGGCTTGATTTGGCTGCTGCTTGCCCTGGGAGGAGGAGAACTTGCCTTATGCTTGCAATTTGTGGGCGGAGGAGGAAGGTGGTCTCCAAAAGAGCTTGCTGGTTTTGCCATTAGAGCTGCATTATCACCAGTAGTATGCAAAGCACTGCAGGTCTTGTCTGTGTCACTGTGATTAGATACTATGTTCTTGCTATTGATTTTTCTGAATCTCTGCCTTTCTTTTCCCCCCCTTGCTTCAGAGGAATCCCAGGAAGGTGAGAAGTTACTGACAGGGTTGGTTTTTTTTTGAACCTGATAGACTTTCTGCTGTGTTTTAAGAGCTATTTTCCCTAACAGCTGAATTCGTGTTTTAGGTGTTTTCCAAACTCTTTGAAGTCCTTAGACGCCGAACGATTCATCATGCTCTTACATCAGTGCCGCGACAGCGACTCTCATCCAACAATAACAAGAAGAAAAACTAGCCAGTATTTTTAACTTTATTTCTGTATCTGAAGTGTTCACACTTACACATATAGGACAATAAGCTGGACCGTCTGGGCAGGTCTGCATAAATGCTGTAACCATACCAGACTGATGCTGCATATGGGGTATGGAATTGCACATCCATCTTCTAGGAACTGTAAAGTGGTTTGAATTCAGTGAAATACTGCTATGTAGGAGGGTATCACTTGTGTCCATAGCATGTGACTGCTTTAACCTCATTACTCTAGCAGCAAAACTCATTTATCTTTCAGTTCATGCCACTTTGTGTCAGACTTCATCATTCTAAGTTTTTTCATTATTTCGAGTCTCATCTCTTTATATGGTTTGTATTTTATTTTCCTTGGTTACCTCATTTTCTTGTTTCTTTTGCACATTTCTCATTCCACAGGTGTTGAAGCCCATGAGTGATAATTTGATGGAGGATCATATGAGGCAGTCTGTAAAAAACTCTATCAAAGCAGGCCTGACCGAGCAGGTGGCTCACCATGCCAGACTAAAGACAGACTGACAGTTCGTCTCCTCTTCAACTCTGCCCTCTCATCCTAGACATGCTTGCTGTACCATGAGAACTCAATAATAAAAAATAAATAAATAAAAATAAACCAAAGTTTACAATCAACTGTAGAAGTAGTTTAGTGTGACTGGCTACACAGTTTGCTGCCATCACCGGGGGAAAGTAAGTTTGTCAGTGCTCTGCTTCTCAGACAGACTGGTGCCATGGAGACCGCTGGGGTGGGAGGGAGGGTGTCAGTTTTACATATAGTCCTGGTGAACTCTGTATGTGTGTGTTTGGGGGTTGGGGAGGGGGATCTTCCTCCAGCGTTTTGAGTTGATGCAGTCTCTGGCTTACAGGGGCAATCTGTCCTCTGCAGGAGCTGATTTCAGGGAAGTGTAATGATCAGAACCACACAAGATGTGCTCTCACCAAATGTACTCGGCTCCACGCCATCTCCCACCGCTAACCAGTGTATCTGTGTCTCGAGTCGGTGGAGCCATTGGAGCACCCACTACATTACACTACATATCTTGCTTTATTGCCTTTTATACCAGTGTTACACAGACGCATGTGTTGGTTCCTCACGCTGCCAAGGGCAGGACTGACCTGTAGGGGAGGCAGTGGGTCGGAGTAGAGGGTGTCTTGCCTTGAACTCGCAGACCTGGTCCCGAGGGAGGTGCATATTGGAACTGAGCTGTCTTTTTCTGCAGTTTAGCCTTCATGTATATAATATTGCCATTAATTCTACTGGGGGAGAAATTCCATCCAAAAATGTTGCCTACAGCTACCAAGCAATGAGTTAGGATTGTCTGTACAGTGTGTTTAGTTTTTATTTTTTAAGAGATCACAGATAGGGCATGTATATGAAATATAAATATATAAATACGATTTTGTATCAAAGTTTTGTAGTTTATGGCAAAACCTGGTTTTGTGGTAGCTAAGTGCAGTTCCTGTAAAGGAATGTTTGTGGCTCATGTAAATGTGTGAATGCTTCAACAATTTGAAGTTTTTTGATATATTTGTGATATTTACCTGCCTTGAGCACTGCAATCTCTCACCCCTTGGGAAAATCAATGGGAATGTTTGTTGTGAAACTCTTGTCTTCTGTTGCATTTTAAAGTTATTTCCTGTAATTTATTTTCAGTACATGATTAAAATCAGTTGTGTATATATGAAATGAAATCTGTGCTTATTTTTAAAAAGATGTTCAAGTATGTATTCTACTACATAAACTATGTCAAATGCTTATCCTCACAATTATATGAGCAAGTTGTCTATTGTACTTCATAGCTTTCTACTGAAGCTGATGTTCCTCTCGTGCTTGTCTCTGGAAGATGACATCTGTCTAGCTCATACCCCCTCCCTGCATAGCAAAACTTCCTGCTATTCTAAAGCTTCTTGACTTGTGCAGTTGCTTGTCAGATTCTGCCCTCCAACAGCTATCACTGAAATCTTGTTACTGGCTCTATTTTCATTCTTGGCTGAATCAGTATCAACTGTGTGGAGTGTAAAGGCAGCTAAATTAACTGCTGTAGTTTCAGCTGGAAATGGCTGTGTGCAATAGCTGGTTTTTTTGCATTCCTAATTGGTAACAATTTTCACCAACATTTGAGCTACATCAGTCTCCCCTCACTCAAGTGAGGGAACGTGTCTAGGCCTAAAGCAATTGCACTGTGACTTTTGTATTGTAAAGAACTGCTGGGGAGTGGTGGTTACCTGCCCTCTACAGGTGAGGGCTCAGCTCCAGGTGAATGATGCTGAAGAGGTAGGAATGTCACATTTTATGGTATCTCTCTCAAACTGTACAGATTAAATACTGTTATTCAAACAAGCTAATGCTTTGGTGATTAATCTCTTACTAGTCAAATGACTCGAGTCACATGGGGCTTGGAGGGCTGTGCTTGCCTTTGCTGCTTGTGTTCTCCAGGAGGGTGCGAGTCAGATTTGAGGCTGTGCTGGGCCCTGCAGCAATGGCAAAAGCAGAACTCATTCTAGCATGTGGACAATATATAGCTGCAAGGCTTCATCTGGTCTGAAATAGTCTGTGGGGGGAGAGTTCTTGAACACAGTGCTAAGAAGTTGCAGAATGAATCCAAAACCCCCTCAATTTTGTGGGAGGTATCAGAAGTAGGAAATGGTGGGAAAAAAGATGACTTTTGAGCAAGTGTGGGAAATTAATGATTTAGGGGATAAAAAAGGGACAGGTCGTGTGGCAATAGGTTGCTGGTGTGTGTTCTTGCCTGGCTGTGTGTGTCCTGTTTTCTGTTAACTCCATTTCTCCCCCTCTCCTCGAAGAGAGGACTTCATTCTATATGCATGTCTGCATGGAGGCCTAAGTGCCAGTGACTGGAGTGGGACCTTGGGTCACAGGGGCTGTATGCTGGAGTACCAGCAGCCTGGAGCAAGTGGAAAGCAAGTGCCAGCAACTGGAGAGTGAGGTGGTGTGTTGCTGTATGAATAGTGAGCTGGATGTAGCCAGCAAGTAGGGGAAAGAGCCTGGGAGCCAAGGACTGAAGCAGGCCCAAGACTAGGCTGGATACACATCTGGTTTTGCATGAGGCAACTGGAGGGACCAGGAGGTCTGGGCTAACTTGAAGGGCCTGGGGGTTCAACTGGGACCCATATGTTTGGGCCCTCCCTCTGTGGGAGGCAAAAAGAGGCTCCAAGGGCCAGTTACAGAATAGGCTTGTGCCTGAAGGACATCCACTGAGGCATTCACAAGATGGTGTGCAACGGTGGGCTGAGGGCCATGCCCATGTGCCAGTTACTGGAGCAGACTGGTCATCCAGAGGCCAGATACTGGCTGAACTTGCCCAGTCACTGGAGGAATCCAGAGCTTGTGTGTTTCCCACTAACAGACCTTCATACTGATCAACATTGACCTGTATGGGGATGGCATAAGCACGTCCCCTGTGTGGGTATGTGTAGTCCCAGCTCAGCCTTGCTGCTGGTTGCACATGGGGGCATGAAACTAGTGGCCTCACCTCCATTGTGCAACTCTTACAATTAGTATTCTTAATAAAACTAGTATTTCACAACTTTTGTCTGTGTTACTGTTAAGAACATCAGGATTGTGCACAATGTGAGTACAAAGGAACTGAGGAACTTCACTAACGGAAAGAGGGCATAAAGGAGACAGATGCTCACTTTCTCTACCCTAGGCTACTCTGTTACCACCTCAAGTAAAGTTCTGAGAACTGTTCCCATTCTGTGCAAACTGTAGTGCATTCAAGTCTTCTTCCCGCTGTCCTCCCTGAGCAAGCAAAAAACAATTTAACAGGAAAAGCACAAGGCGGAACATGGTAACTTCAGCCCACACCAGCAGCACAGCCCTGGCCAACTCTTGCCTCAAATGGAGATACAGCAGAGCTAGGTAGGAAAGCTACATGGAAGATACTACACCTGGCAAAGTACAGCACAATGCCATAGGAAGACAGATCAGAAGAGATGACTGGCAACATGTAACAAACTACAGCAGCAGAAAGAGGTGAAAGAGACTAGATAGGATACTTGTTCTTCCTCTTACTTCAGGAAGTGCCTGCCCGAGTTCCTTGGGAGAGGAAAGCCTCAGCTGGAGCAACAAGTGCAGTGATTTCTGGCTCCAGAAAGGCATAAACATAAGGCATAAGCTGGAAATTTCTGGTTATCTTGTAACTTAATTTTTCCAGAGCAGGCTAAGGCCAGGCCACAGATTTTTCCTGTAGATGGCTGATCTTTGGAGTTAAGGAAACTAAAAAGCACACTGGGTATCATGGCACAATGATAACGAAGCAGTGGAAAACAGGAAAGCCTGTGTTTTAGGAACCTAGATAGGCAGTGTCCAATGTTTTTTTGATTGTGTAAGCCAAGTATGGCAGTATTTCAAAATGCCCTCTTATTATTTTGCGTTAAAGTAATTAAGCACAGGTTAGGGTCAAACCTCCTTTTTTATTGAAAAACATGGGTGGGAATAAAGACAATATTTACACAAGTTCCCAACTGCAGCTGAATGTTAGAACATATGACCAATAACATGATAAAAGAACGTGGGTCCAAATCAGAATTATGGAGGGTACTAAATGGTCCAACCTCCTATGAAACACACACCTTCAGATAAGATCAGCAACTGAAATGAGAGAAAATCAAAGAATTAAAGCACGCACTGAGTATGCTTGGGAGCACAGCACATGCTCCCAGATTCTTTGTAAGGTCCGGCTGGAGAACGAGGCATGTAGCCAAACAAAGCATCTGGCATTTCTTTCAGATGCAGCACACCGGTTCCCAGCCGGAGGAGGGTAAGTCTGACTGGGGCTGGCAGGCACTCACCATTCATGGGCATCTCGTCTATCTGGGTGGAGTAGTACTGCTCAATGTCTCGCAGGATGCGGATGTCGTCGTTCTTCACAAAGTTGATCGCTACACCTTTTCGACCGTACCTGCCTGACCGTCCAATTCTGTGGAGGCAGAAGGAAAGAGGGAGTGGAGGCACCTTGGGGAAGAGTCACCCAGCAGCACTGCCCCGTGCGAAGGCCAAGCATACCTGTGAATGTAGAGTTCTCTGTTGTTAGGTAAGTCGTAGTTAATGATCAGGGACACCTGAGGCACATCCAGGCCTCTAGCCCAAACATCTGTTGAAATAAGGACTCGGCTGCAAAGAGAAGGAGACAGTTAGGACTGTTCCACTAGACTGAGAAGGGGGTGAGGGCTGAGAGCTCCTAACCTCCTGCACAGATCATCCCCTGCAGTTCTGTGCTCCTCCCTGCCCAGAACACACCAGCAGCATCCACACTTTTGCTGTGAGGAGAGCTGTCTCATACACAATCACCAAACTTCAGTGAAGATGGTACCAACATAGCTTTCATTTTTCAGAAGGAGTGGTGCTCCCAAGAGTTTAAAATATTGAGAACAGAGCCAAATATTTTTTTCCTTGATTTATCTTAAGTGCAGCAACTCCCGACATCTTCAGCAAAATGAAACAGACTAATTCTATACCTAGAAATATGAGTATCCCACCTTGGAAAGCAGCAATCTCCCAACCCTGCAACACCACATGGGGATAGATGGCAATCATCACTCTTTAGAGCTGAACAAGGCCTTTAGAAAGGATACACAACTCCTGCCCTGAGGCAGCAATGCTGTAAGCAATGCTGTTTGCGGCATTTACCTTGCACCAGATCTAAACTCTTTCATGATGGACTCTCTCTCCTTCTGTGGCATGTCCCCATGCATGGATGAAACTGTGAAGTTGGCTTCTCGCATCTTCTCTGTGAGCCAGTCGACCTGCAAACAGCCTGGGTTAGCTCTTTGCTCAGGACAGCCACAGTCAGATGTGCTTGGAGAATGCTTGC